TCTGCTTCACTCTTGGAATAAATCAGAATGTCATCGATGAACACCACCGCAAACTTATCCAGAAACTCATGAAAGATTCTGTTCATATACTCCATGAACACACCAGGTGCATTCGTAACACCAAAAGGCATTACCGAATACTCATAGTGTCCATAACGAGTTCTGAATGCAGTTTTCTGAATATCACCCGCTTTCACGCGAATCTGATGATAGCCTGATCTCAAGTCAATCTTGCTAAACACACACGCACCCACCAGCTGATCCATTAAATCATCAATCCTTGGCAAAGGATACTTGTTCTTAATGGTCACTTTGTTTAGCTGCCTATAATCCACACAAAGTCTCATTGTTCCTTCTTTCTTCTTCACAAGTAAAACTGGAGCACCCCACGGGCTCACACTAGGACGAATAAACCTTTTGTCAAGCAACTCCTCCAGCTGATTCTTCAGTTCCACTAGTTCCGACTGTGACATCCTATAAGGAGCCATCGAAACAGGACTAGTACCAGGAATTAAGTCGATGGAAAACTCTACCTCGCGCTCAGGAGGTAAATCCGTAATCTCTTCAGGAAACACTTCAGGAAATTCGCATACCACCGGATAATCCTTTCTTACTCTACCATCTTCCAAAACCATACTCGCCATAAGCATAAACAACCCATCTCCATTCTTCACGCTCTTCTCAACTTGCTGTGTAGACAAGAAAACCACACCATCTTTCTCGGACTCGAGAAAAAGAACAGCCTTAGCAAAACAGTTGATATAGACATGGTTGGCTTTCAACCAGTCCATACCCAGAATCACATCTATCTGATGCAAGGGAAGACACACGAGATCAACTTCGAAATCTCTCCCGCACATGCGCAAAGGACACTTCAAACAAACAACTGAAGTAGAAACTGAACCCATCGCAGGTGTATCTACCTCCATACTTCGATCCAAAGTAGACAAGACAAGGCCCAATCTCTTGGCACAATCTAAAGCAACAAACGAATGCGTCGCACCCGTATCAATAATAGCAACCAAAGACACATTAGAGATAAAGCATGTACCTCTGATTAGACGTTCCTCAGCAGAAGCCTCTGCTCCAGATAAAGCGAATACTTTTCCAACTTCTTTCTTTGGCTTTGGGAATTTGGTACTTATGTGGCATTGCTCACCACAATTAAAGCAAGTTACACCCATACCAACTCTACAATCCACCGCTTTGTGACCCACCCTGTCACACTTGAAACACTTAACTATCCCCTGGCGACATTCCATAGCACGATGTCCCTCTTTACCACATTTAAAACATTTGATTGGAGTAGTCACTCCCCCACTCAGACTCTTCCCACTACTTATTGGTCTCTTTCCTCTTCCATCATAAGGCTTAGGACGCATCTGCCCCTTACCTCCTTTCTCATTCAAGCTCTTGTAATAAGCAGTGCTATCCCGACTGTCTTCGTCGTATATACGACTCTTATTAACCAACTCAGAGAATCTTGTAATCTGCTGATACCCAATCGCCTTCTTTATGTCCGGCCTCAAGCCATTAACAAACTTAAGGCACTTCGACCTCTCAATATTAACAGTGTTGTAGTGAGGACAGTATTTGATCAAATCTTGAAATTTAGCCGCATAGTCAGCTACCGAACCACTACCTTGTTTCAATTCCAGGAATTCAACTTCCTTTTTACCGCGAACATCCTCCGGAAAATAATTCTCCAAGAATGCATCTCTGAAAATTTCCCAAGTCACCACAACCTGCTCCTCCTCATACCTCTGACTAGCGTTGATCCACCAGTCTTCGGCCTCTTTAATCAGCATGTGTGTTCCGAATTGCACTTTCTGAGCGTTGGTGCAATTCATCACACGAAAGATTTTCTCAATTGCTTTCAACCATTCTTGAGCCTCCACCGGAGCATGCTCTCCCTTGAAAGTAGGCGGGTTGTTCTTTTGGAATTTCCCAAGAGCACGGAAAGCATCTTCAGTACCATCATGTGGTGCTCGAGTCGTTTGCGGCATCTGATTTATTGACCCCGCAAGCAACCTCAATGCCTCAGCTAAAGCATCATCATTCCTTCTACCAGCCATCTTCTGAACAACACAGGGCATTGATCGCGTTAGCCACACAATCAAATACAAGGGATTAACAAAATAAGACCTGACAACCGACCGACTATGCTCTGATACCACTATTGTAACACCCCAATTAATACGTAAAGATTAAAATCAGAGAAATAAAATTGTACGGAAGGGATGCCACAACACAAGACACATTCCAAATTATTTTTAAAGAAAAACGGACAGGGTATGTTTGAAGGTATAAGTATTCCAACACAGAACAAACATACAATAAATATTTACTTCATTCTCTCGTGCAAACGCAACGGAGTTTCACAATTTCACCTCATCTCCATTATGGAGGAATCAAAACATAATCCAAGGCATCAAGCCATCATAAATCACATGAGCATATGTTATCAAGTCTCTCATATACAAAACATCATATACACGAATAAGGATTATATACATCATAATCCAAATACAAAATAATCGAGTTCGACACTAAATAAACCCCCCAAGTGTTACTACCAGAGCATCGACTCGACCCTAATCAAAATAAAACGGATTGCAATCTAATGCATCCGTTAGCTAGCGCCTCGCGCTACCGTCCTCGGTACCTACACAATGCCATCAAAAGCATTGGCCAACAAAAGGGGTAAGAATTCCAATAATCATATAACATGTAATTTTAAGTAAATGAAATGGCAATAAGTAACGCATTACATAATGATCATGTTCATTTTATCACTCGTAGTATCCTTACTCAAGGAACCCATTTCCAACACATTAACCATGTAAACCGATTATCCGAAATACTCACATCCTTAGCATATAACCATAATTCAAACAACAACAATATTGGCACCTAATCAAACACATCAACACACATACATATCATGCACAATTATACATGTGACTCACAACACGACCCAACGTATGCAAATGCGGTACCGACTCGTGGACCCAAGTTCCACCACCTATATTTCCCTTCCGGATCAAGGTCACTACGTCTTTTCCCACAATAGGGTCACCGTCTAGATATTGTGGATCCAATGTTCCACCACCTGTATTTCCCTTCCGGATCAAGGTCACTACGTCTTTTCCCACAATATGGTCACCGTCTAGATATTGTGAACCCAATGTTCCACCACCTGTATTTCCCTTCCGGATCAAGGTCACTACGTCTTTTCCCACAATAGGGTCACCGTCTAGATATTGTGGACCCAAAGTTCCACCGTCTCTGTTTCAAGACCACCATGCCATGCAATGTACAATATAACCAATGCATGCAATTAAGACTCACAACAATCTTAACATACACATGCCATCAAATCCAACCAATGGAACATCAACTATTGTACATGCATGCATACATATAATTTATCAATCTCAACGTCAAGTAAAATGTATACAAACGAGATTACTTACTCAACCAAAACATAAACCATCAACTATCAACAATTCCAAATCGGAAAGTATATTTCGACAATATCAATATGATCATCACATCATCATGTACAAGGACATATATCATCATTATCAACAAAAATCATTTAGTCATGAACAATTCATCACAAGCCTCCCATATCATCATGTAGCATCATCATTTTCATACAAACATGCATATTAAACATAAGCATACATGTTGTCATACCCAATCATTCAAACCATATCAAAACATAATGCATTTTTCATTTGATGTATAATTCACAAGATCATTCATTTAGTACACCAAACATCACCAAACACTTCACTAAAATACATAACAATCAAATTCACCTATAAACATAAACACTTTCTCCAATAATCACTTATTAAAATAAGCTCTTAAAGCTACCTAATTCCTCATAATCATATAGAAAATTTCACTAGCTTTCCAACGCATCAAACGGCGCCTAAATCGGAGTTACGGTTCAAAAGTTATGGCCGAAACGATTTTTGGGAAATGCCAAGTCAGAGCTTCAACACGGGCACCCGTGTGCTGCAACACGGCCCGTGTTGTGAAGCCTGCGCGAAAATCTCATTCTTTTGAGTTTTTATCATTCCACTACCATGGTTTTCTTTCCCATTTCAATACTCTTAATTTCTACAAGCTAGCACCTAATACACCCACAAACCATACTCCTAATCCAACTTCTCTAAACCATTCTAACAATCAACCAACAAAACCCTATAAAATCAACTATCCATTTTACCCCCAAATCCAAAATATATTTACCAAAACCTAACAATATGAGATGGAGAATCAAACCCCTTACCTTGGTGTAGGTTATCTTGAAACAAGAAGACGAAGATGTTGCAACTTCACCCTAGCTCCTTTCTTCTCTTCTCCTCTTTCCTTTTCTTCTTCTTCTTTCTCCTCTTTTTCCTACTCTTACCAACTCTTCTTCCTATTTTATAAAACCCTCCTTCTACTACTAACTTTCCTCCCTCTATCTTTCTAAAATTATAATTTGGCCCCAACAATTATTTAACTCTAATTATAATATATAACCCTATTAAACAATATTACACTAAATAATATTCATTCTATATAAACCTAATCATGCCGATTAATCAAACAAAGTCAAATATTACTACACACCAAATTAATATTATTCAAAATAATATTCCGACACAATAAATATTTTTATTTCATATTACCCAATTAATATTTTAATCGATATCAATTGAATATATTTCTCAAAATAGATATAATTTAATAATTTTGGAAAATAATTAATGAAATAACATTTAGATAAAAACGGCGTGTTACAGGTTTTACCCGTCGGGGAAGTTTTAGATCGACCGAGCAGGATTTTCTGGTGTCCTCGTTTGATGCTTGTGTAAGGGATTTTTGACCGAGGACATCGTTCTCGTGTCTTTGCATGCCATTTCACCCGATTTAGTGGTGGAATGGTGGATTTTATTTGATCATTGAATTCACTTGTATCCTCCACTTTTCAGGTGAAAATGTCAACAAATTCCAAGGATGAAATTATAGTCAAGGAGACCGAGACTTCTGGGGAAGTGCCGCCCTCCTCGGACCCTAAGGAGTGGATTGCTCTTGAGCCAAGGGGGATATCCTCACGGTTTTATCCTTCAATGATAAGGCTTTTATAGCAGTAGGAGGTGAAATGAGTTCGTCAAATGTTGAGCAGGAGTGGAAAGTCGTGTTTCCTGACGAAAACGAGCGAATCTGCTTGTCGTTTGAAATTAATCAATTCCCTATATACAAAAACGTCTTCGGAGAGATGGGGCTTCAATTGTCCTTTGTTGCACCCCAAATTTCCCCCTGAGTTTTCTCATTCGCATTGTTTATATTCAAACATAATTTTATTCGCATCTCTGCATAGTTTCAAATTATTATTAAAAAAGTATATAAAACTATTTTGTTTATTCATTGTTGTTTGACATTATTATATCTAAATAAATATCTCTAAAAGGGATTTTTTTGGTTCTTTTACAAGACCTAAAGGGATAAAGGGATAAGGTTTTGTGTGGATATAGGAGGGAAGAAAGAGAGCGATATACAAAAAAAAAGGAAAAAACGACGCGTCTTAAAACTCGTTCTTTGTCATCATTCACAGTCATCTTCCAGCTTTTCCTGCTTCAATTCAAAAAATCACACTAGCTAACCTTCCTCAAATTTTCCTCTTCTTCTCCATTCAGCGAGCTCCTCCATCTATCTCCGTGCATAAATCCCTCAGTCCCTCTTCAACATCATCATCAACTCTTATCCTCCTACTCTACGACACCCTTCATCGTTTCCGAAACCAGCTTCTCCAAACAGAAGCTCAACGACGCCATCTCCGAACCTCTATCTCTCACCAACCCGTCCTTGTACATACTCCACTCCATAACACACTAACCTTTGTCACTATAACAAACCTCTTCCGCTTCCATACTATTCATCACCATCACCATTCAAACCCATCCCCAGTTCCACATACTACTACCTCTGTAACACACCCACAAACATGCAAACTTCCCTCTACGGAACACTACACTTAAATAACCTACTCACAATATGCTCTTCACCTTAATCCGCCTTCTCTTTTGGTACATTCATTTGAGTTTTGAAAGATTCTTGGAGTTGTTGTTGTAATAGCCGCAAACGCAAGTGGTGCATGGACTCCTATTGGTGATGTTACTACTACTATGTTGTGGACACATGGCCATATAACTACAAAAAAAATCCATAGAAGAACATCCAAAGCTTCAACAACTACAACCTCCCATTCTGAGACTTGGGTAAACTTCACTCACTTTCACCCTTTTTAATCAATGTTGATTTCTTGTATTATTTTGTTAAAATGAGTTAGTGAAATGTTGATGATAGTGTTGTTAATTTTAATTGGTGGAGTCTTGAAATAAATTTATTTAAATTGGGATGTTGTTATTGAGTTGATTGTGCTAACTGTTGAACATCTAAGTTGCTGTTTCACAAGAATAGAATCCAAATTTTGGAGATATGTTATGAGTTCACCGTGTTAATGCGCGATATTTTTTTTGTTAATGGTATTCGACTCGTCTTGTTGATGTTATGTATTTTGTTTGTGATAAATCAACAAGGTTCTTAATGTTACATAAGTTTATCTTGAGGGAAGTTCGCTTGTGATACAACGCTAGTTGTGCTAATTCTCAATTTTGAATGTGTGATAACAATACTGTTCATGATTTTGATGCGGAGTAAAGCTTAATTGTTGTAATGTTGTTTGATATAATTGGAAGGATATTTAGTTGGCATTTTTTGAACAATTTGTTTTGAATTATAAAGTTAATTCAAGTGGCATTACATTATTGTTTCCATTTGTGCAAAACGCATTTTCGGTGAGATTTTTGAGTTATTTCTTGTATATATAGTTGCTGCCCCAGATTTTGTTTTGGTTGATTTAAGCTTGCGTTGAACTTGACTTTTCATGTCTTAAACTTGAATCGAGTAATAACGTGAATCCTTGACTTTTGATTTCATTTGTGATTATAAAACTATGCTTATCGTTGTGTTTACTTGACTTTGAACATGTTTGAAACAATGTATGCAATGCTGATTTTTCGTGTTCAAGTGAATAATAATTCTAATTCTCACTTCTTGTTTCATTTGTGGTTAGAAAATTGTGATGGCTTTTAAGTTTACTTGAATTTGAACATGCTTGAAATGATGAATGCAATGCTGATTTTTGCTATTTACCTTGAATAAACACTTGTTTTCTTAATTCTTGATTGAGAAATATTTATTTGTTCATGCATGTCATTTCGAGTTTTATTTGGTTTCAATTCTCTTGCAATTACTAACTTGTTTTTGGTTTGTGTAGCTTCCAAGTCACTCAAATGCCCACTTCATCTTAACACTACTTTTGTTGATTTTAAATAATTAACTAAAAGTCAATTTAGTTATTTAATTTCATTATTAAAAATTAATTAGTTTTGGCTAATTAATTTTTCTTAACTTAATTAATTAACTTAATAAACTTTTAAGTTAATTAATTAAGCATCAATTTCATATTTCATTTGTTTCATTTAGCTCTGATACATGTTCTTAATCCACTCGGACTTGATTCTTTATTTCACATGAGATGTTCGGATTATTTCTACGCTTTCCTGGTTTTGTCTATTTGTTGAGAAATTCATCTGATAGAAGGATTCTTATCCAACACCTTGAGCTTACCTGGTGCACTTTCCCAACTTGTGATTTATTTTCACTTGATGCACTTTATCCGTTGCTTTGAGTATTATCTAATGCCTTGGGTTTCTTTAATGTTGTCTGATTGTGATTTATTTTCACCTGAGGTTTTATATACTCTTTGCTTATTTATCTGCTTGTGGATTTAATCCAAAGGGATGGGAATGCTGTATTAACTTCTTTATATCAAGTATTGGCTTCTTATTTAGTTAGACTGTTCCTTACCCTTATCTTTTACCTTCCTGTACATAGGATATTCTCTTCATCTCTTTATCATTCTTCAATTTTCAAAGCCTTCTCATCTTTTTCAAAACCTTCTTATTTTCTAACTTTAACCACTTTCGTAATAAAATTGACTTTGTCAAGTGACTTTTTCAAACTTCTTTTCTTAATAAATGCTAAACCATATAAGCATATTCTAACCTTTTTAAAAATACTAAAAAACATTTAACCTCGTTTAAACCTTTTTGTGCACTCATGAACCTTTATCCTTTAAAACATTTTCCAAGATTAGACATGATTCATTTATAATCAATATATTATTCTACTATCCCCATGGTTGTTGACTTTTCCACTTGAGTACTAGAAGTGTTCTCAAACCCACCCTCATGTTGGTGTGTAGTGTTTCTTTCTTATACCTTGTGGGTGGTTAGACGAGTTTTCTCCTTAAAAATGATGACTTGTCTCTTTTTAAAAAATTAATAAACACATCAAGTTTTGTTCTTTTTGAGAAGAACTATGAGTGCCCTGATCCCTTATTGCACAAAGGGGGTATTTAGGCACAAAGGTTCACAACCGCGACAGGTACAATAATAAAAAACTTTTTCTTTTATTTGTAAATATTCATTCATTCTTTCCTTTTATCAAGTTTAAGCTTGTGATACGGTGGGAGAACTGACTTGTGTGTTTTGCATTTGATCGCAAATGTTGCGGTTAGCAAGAGTCTCCACCGACTTTTCTTTTATCCAAAAGAAAAGGTGAAAAAGCACAGGAAAGACCTTTGAGATTGTTTCTTGAGTTCGGGGGGTAGATTACGAAAAGGAAGGGTATTAGCACCCTTTTCATCCATGGTTTTCCATGGGCTCTTAGTTACTTGCTAGATCACTTGCTTTTGTTTGAAATTGTGCTTTGTGTGGTTTTTGAAAGTATTTTGTAAAGATGCCTCTGTTTAGGCAAACTTTGTAATAGTTCCCGTTCGTAAGAATGTATAAAAAGCGTTTGATCTTTTGAAAATGTTTTCAAGTTTGAAAGGTGTTTTGAAAGTGTAGGTGTTTGTTTTTGAAAATAGCAAGGATGTTTTTGTTTTGAAATGGAGAAAGTAACTAGGAACTTTCTACCTACTCAAAAAGTCTTTCATGTTCTTTTCCTTTTTCCTTTGAAATTGTTATCTTACCATTGATTTGGTAAGTAACCCTATCTTTGGATGTAAAAAGAGACGGGTGTGGGTCATCGTATAACCATGATTAGCAATGTTGCAAGATATCTTAGCATTTTTCTTTAGGAACTAAGATCATTTTGAAAGGCAACTTTTGATAGCGTCATCGAGGGACTATGATCTTGTATTTTTGTTTGTCTTTGCTAAGATACATCACGTGCGTAATATGGCTATTTTTGTAAGGCAACCAAATGGATTTACCCTAGGGGTGCTTGTGTGCAAATGTATTGATTTTCATGCTTGATTTGTCTTTGGTTAGGGTTTTCTATTTGTTGGTTTTAGTCTTTCCATACAAAAACCCCAATTACTAGCATTTGTATATAAAGCGATAAATTGCGGAATTTAAAATTACTACGCTATTACATCATTTAGGGGAGAGGGATGTACAAATTACAAATGGAGAATATTGCAAGAAATTAAATCTAAATAATTATTACAACCATATTAAATTTGAATAAATGTATAAAATAAGGATAAAATGCAAAAATGCAAATGTAAAAAAGAAATGATTTTTTTGTTATTTTATGAAAGGGTTTAGTCTTGACCTAATTAAAAAAATGATTAATGAAAATTAAACAAAATCAAGTTTAAACTAATTAAGGAAGAAATTAAATTAAAAATGTTTTTAGGGTTTTTATAAAAAAAAAGGTTTTAAGTTAAATAAAAATAAAAATGAAAATTAAATAATTAAAAGAAATCTAAATTCTAAGTTAATTTTAATTAAGAAAATAAGATAATTATTAAACCTAAGTCTAAATATTTAATTATTTAAAAGAGAAATTAATTTGTTAAAAGAAAAATGTTTTTTAGTCTTTTTTTTTGTTTTTATAAAGAAAATAAAATAAAGGCTTAAATGCAGTTTTGACCCCCCTAGTTTAAGGTTTTTGGAGTTTCGATCCCCCTAGTTTAAAAGTCAGGTTTCTAGTCCCCATAGTTTTCAAATTTGGGATTTTTGAAGCCCCCCTCCATCTGGCTGCCCAAAAAGTTTTCAAATTTGGGATTTTTGAAATCTCGTACGGGCGGATGGAAGAGGAAATTAGGTTAAGCAATTTGGGATTTTCAGAAAATATGAATTATGAAATTAAAAATTCATTTGGAAATTAATATCACTTATTTAAATGTTTAAAAAATATTATTCTAAATAAGAAATAAGAAAATAATACGTGGCATTACTCTCCCTGTGCCATGTCACATGTAGGGGGCTTCAAAAATCCAAAATTTAAAAACTTTTTGGGCAGCCAGATGGAGGGGGGCTTCAAAAATCCCAAATTTGAAAACTATGGGGACTAGAAACCTGGCTTTTAAACTAGGGGGATCGAAACTCCAAAAACCTTAAACTAGGGGGGTCAAAACTGCATTTAAGCCTAAAATAAAAAAGTGTAAATAATAAAAAAAAATATTTTTGAATTTTTTACTAATGAAAATAAAAATAATATTAATAATAATAATAATAATAATAATAATAATAATAATAATAATAATAATAATAAAATAGTGAAAGAAAATTGAAATGAAAGAAAAAAAATGAAATAATAAAGAAATAGGTCAGGTGCAATAATGAAAACAGGGGTTAGAAAAAGCAAAAAAAATAACTAAGCCCAATGTTGGAGGCCCAACGCTGGCTGCAAACAAAAAAAAAAGAAACAGAAATTGTGAAAAATAACAAAACAGACGTTGGGGCTCGAACCCAAGTCCTAAAGGTGAAAGGCGCGTGTTTTAACCACTGAGGTGGTGATACATCCGTTGATATAAACAAAGCAATGAATATATAATCTAAGTTATGCCCTGAATTCAAACTTCATCTTCAACCTCCAACCATGGATTCTATAACTTGCTCATTTCTCAACAAAAGTGAAAGATGCAAACATGAAAGTTGCTCCATTTTTCCACACGAATCCAACCATATAAATATCATAAGATATAAATCAAAGATGAATGCGAATTTCTAAAAGTACCAAATTCTGACCTAAATATTTCAGAAAGTTCAAACTCAAAATTCTCCTAGCTCAATCAAAATAAATGAAATCTATGGACATGTATAGTTTTAGGGCAATGATGTCTACATTTTATCTTTACAAATGCAAGCCTAACAATGCCTAAGTAATGAGATAGAAGTTCAAGAAAAATACCTCAAAACTAGAAATCGTGAAATGCAAATGGGCTTGATTTAAGGTGCTGCAATGATCAAGTTAGCTTCCTCAAGTTCCCAGGAAGCTAATGCAATGATTAGCTTGAGCAATGGGTGGCTGAAATGGTCTGGAGAAGTCAACTTGCAGAGCTCTGTTTTTGGTTATGAAGGTAATGAAGATGGAGTTACAGTTATGAAACAGGATCAGGGATGGTTTTTATTTGATGTAAGGAAGCTTTAGGGATGAATTTGAGGGAAAACGCACGAGGGAAATGAGAGATACAAGTTTAAGGTCAGAACTGTGTATCAATGGAGTTTTTTGTGCAATTTCGGGATAGAGGGAGTTTGAGAGTGTTTCAGGGTGCTTAAGCTCGTGTCCTAGCTCACAAATAGTGACTCTATTTATAAGCAACAAGTTTGGAGACTTGTTGATCAGAATTCAAAATCACAAGTTTATGCATAACATGTGATTTTTGAGAAATTTAAGTTTCAAAGCCTTGTGTACTTGCTAAGATAGAGTGGTTATGATTTAACCATACTTGCTTATGACTTTGTGTATGGAGTGTTATCATATGGAACAAGTTATAGGCTCAAGAATGGACTTTATGCAAAAAGCTTGCTTTACAAGAATTGCAATGTTAACTTTGTGCCATTAATGGAAAGGCAACTTGGATAATAGCTCAATTGCTTGGATCAAAGCTCTAACAGCTGTGTAAACATTTAATTATGGAGTGACAAACAAGTTTGAGGCCTGCAAATCAAAGATTATGCATCCTAGTATGGATTTAGTTCACGTGTTCATCAAAAATGACTTGTAATTCAAGTTTGAAAACCCTAACTTCCTCTCTTCGATTCTCCCTGCTCAAGAATGATCTCAAGGAGTTCTTGGACATTTTGGAAAGCTTGTAATATTCTCTACAACCTCTCTTTGAATCAATTTTGAAAATTCCCCTTGGAACTATATGAAAACGTGCCATGAAGTTAGGTCAAAATCGTGCCTAAACTAGGGCAAAATTTTACTAAGTGTTTAGTTTCAAGACTATGACTTCATGAATTAATAACTTGATATCCAAGCACTTTTAGAATAAGTTGGGTAAAGAAATGTTTTAGATATCATGGAGATCTACAACTT